ATGATTTTTAATACGAGTCTCAGCTCAATTTTCTCTAACACGTAGAGAATATACGGATATCAACAGATTATTCAACTACACAGTTCCATAGAATTTGACCAAGTCACAATTCCTACGGTGCACGCCCACACGCCCGTCACCTAGCATGTGTGTCACCTAAAAATCAATCACATAACACATAATCCGGGGTTTCATACCCTCAAGAACAAATTTAGAACTGTTACTTACCTCAAACCGTGTAATTCTTTATTCTGCAATGCCTTTGCCTCGCGAATCGACCTCCAAACGCCTCGAATCTAGCCACAAATAATCCGATTCAGTCAATAAAAATTATAGCAATTAATTCCATCTGAAAATACAAATTTTTCATAAAAATCCGAAAATTCACCCAAAAATCGCCCATGGGGCCCACGTCTCGGAACCCGATAAAAGTTACAAAATTCGAAGCCCATTCAACCACGAGTCTATCCATACCAATTTTACCTAATTCCGACATTAACTCGACCCTTAAATCTTCAAATTAAACCAAGAGGGTTTTCTAAATTTTTCAACTTCATTCACCAATTAAATGATGGAATCAAAGGCATAATCATGGAAATTAACCAAAACTAGATAGGAATCACTTACCCCAAACATCCACGCAAGAATCTCTCCCAATTCGATTTTGTGTTATGAACTCAAAGCCCCCGTTTTGGAACTTTTAATTCTGCTCAGATATGCCTTCATCGCGAACGCGACCTCACCCTCGCGTTCGCGTAGAACAATCTGACTGCCCCTCGAATTAACCCTTTGCGAACGCGTCCCTAGCCTCGCAAACGCGAAGCTTCGCTGACCCCTCCCTTCGTGAATGCGACAACCCTACACGAACGTGAAGGCCAAATGCACGGGGTCCCCAGCTGCCTTCTCTCTTCTTCGCGGACGCATCTGACTACTCACGTTTGCGATGCTTTCTCAGTTCAAACCTTCAAATCACAACAAACAACGCTAAAATCACCAATCATACCCCAATTCAAGCCTAATGAACTTTAAAACTTCCAATTTCTACAAACGACGCCGAAACCTATCAAATCACGTCCGATTGACCTCAAAATTTGCACACAAGTCATAAATGACATAACAAACCTATTCAAATTTCCAGAATCGGATTCCGACCTCGATATCAAAAGTCAAACCCCCGGTCAAACTTCTCAAAAATTAACTTTTGTCATTTTAAGCCTAATTACACTATGAACTTCCAAATAATTTTTTGGACACGCTCCTAAGTCCAAAATCACCATACGGAGCTATTGGAATCATCAGAATTCAAATTCGAGGTCGTTTACACATAAATCAACATCCGGTCAACTTTTTCCAACTTAAGTTTTCAATTATGAGACTAAGTGTCTCATTTCACTCCGAAATCCTTTCGGACCCGACCAAACTAACCCGGTAAGTCATAAAATAACTGTAAAGCATGACTTGAGCAGTAAATAGGGGAATGAGGTTATAATACTTAAAAAGACCGACCGAGCCGTTACAAAACAGTACGTATAATAAATATAAAACTGAAGTTTTTATATACTGTTTCACAGAAAACGATGAACTTTTTATGTTCTTCAAATCGTTTCTCAATTTTAATACTCCGATGAAGTTTTTATATCTTCAAATCAGAATAGAAAAATTTAGAAGGAGTAGAAGACCACACAAGTTTTAATCTCTAAAAACAGAATACCGATTATAATATAAGAAATAATTTTCTTACGATTGTTAGCCAATCTGTATTAATATAATGAATAATGAAACAGTAAACTTTCTGAAACAGAAAGTTAGTAGCAACAGAATGTCGAAATAATATTTGAAAATAATTTTGGAATAAATCGAGCCCACTGAATGCACAGTGTGTCCTTAAGGAAATTATTCCCCTAAAGTACCCGAGGTGCCGGAATATTATCCTCCCAGGATAGAACGGTTTTAACTCACCAGTGTATTGGTACCAAAAACGCTGATGAACTTCGAACAACTCAATTGTTGTAAAACACACTGGAAAATTTTGTGCAGAAAAAGAAGAAACAATATTCCGGAAAAAAAGGATTTAAAATAATCCGGAAAAAGAAACGGACCGGGTCGCATCGCGGGTCCTGGGTTATTTCGGGTTGAATTTTCGTTAATTAATTAAATAATTGAAAGAAATTTTGTCTAAAAAGATTAATCAATCAATCTTTGACCAAACCCGAAGCCGAGCGAGCAACGACGACGACAGCGCGAGGCTTACTTTCTTTCCAACCCATTTAACACCAAGAGAAGTGTTTTCTCAATATAAGTGCATTCACTTTTCTTTGCACCACCAATGAGGGACACTTGCTCTTTCCAAAGCAAAATGGAGCTCACTTTCCCTCCACTTTCTTCCCTCTATTTTTCATTCACCAATCTTTTAATCCCAACAAGATATGGGCAGACCCTAAGCCCAGAAGCGTTTGCTCAAACATTATATTTGTGTCAAAAATTTATTAAATTTGTACAAAAAATAAATTTACAACTCAAATATTATTTCGTCGTTCTAAAATCCATAACTTTAAAATCTCGACCTCTACTCACTTAAGTATTTCCTTTTGTATTCGCATTTTATGGGAACTTGTTTTACCTTTCTTGCTTTTTCTTAATTCGAACTTTAATTCGGAAAAACTGTAGTTATACTCTTAGCATAATCAAAACACTTTGTAAATGGACGATTAAGCAACCTCAAATCTTCCTTTCTGTACTTAAGTAAGCTTTCAGGTTATTTTAGCTCTTTTTTGTCAATTACAACCTCCCAATTTTAAAAAAAAAAATCAATTTATTACGTTTTAATTTCAAATTAGTTAGACTTGTCATACGAACTCTATGTATTCGTTTATGTTATAGTATTAAAGTCCAATTTATTCAAATACCATATAATTCATCTTCAAGAAAATTTGGAATTATCTAATATCAAAGGTTCTCATAGTTACTCGTACAAACATATGCGAAGAAAAATGTTAATTAGGCCTGCTCTTAATTAGGGATGGGACAATGAAGCATGGCGATTGGCGTCGTGGCGAGTGGGTCGGTTCGGGCCTGCGGGCTAAGAGGGTTGGGACCATTAGGACCATTAGAGGTGAGCTCGTGCTGGTCTCGTGGGCCGGTTCTTAGCTAGGAATCGTTAGGACCGAACCCGTTTGGCTATTGGCGGGCCAAACGGGCCAATGGTTTTTTTTTTTTTAAATAGTCGTTTGGCTTTTGAAAAAAAAAGCTGTTAGGGGTTTAAAAAATAGTCGTTGGCTATTTAAAAATAGCCTTTTAACCCCCCTAACTTAGTTTTAACCCCTTTTTATAATTACACTTTTTTTTTCTGTTTTGAACTATAAATACTCCCTCATTCTTTCATTTTCTACAAAATTAATATCAATCTATCATAATTTCTCTATAATTTTCTTTTATACTTGCTACTATTGCTTACTTTATTCCAAAAAATAGTCAAAAGATATTGAGGTTGTTACAATTTGTGAAGGTGGTGGTATTAACACCTTGTTGTGTTCATTCCATAGGAGGGAGAAAGAATAAGAAAGATATTGCCATGTTTTTTATTGCTATAATAAAATTACAAGGCATTGCTTTGAATATCTTTTTACAATTGTTTTGTCTTTAAATTTGAATTAAAAAATTAGGTCATAATAAATTTACAAGACATTGCCTTAGATATTTTTTTAAGATCTTTTTGTCTCTAATTTCTATTAATTTTTTTTTAAAATCACTACTTAGTCGTTGGGCCCACTTAGCCCACGAGGCCGACTCGCTTAGCCCGAAATCGTGAGTTCGCGGGCCCGATTCCGGATCGGTTCCTACAAAAAGACCGTTTAGCCTGTTTATTTAAGGCCCGGGACCGACCCGGGACCGCGGCCCACTTGCCACCCCTAGCGTTTGTACGTAGCAAGTAGGGGTGGCAAACATGCGGGTCGGATCGGATATGAGACATGTCAAAAACGGGTAATAAAAAAATAGATAAATTATCCGGCCTGACCCATATTTAATACGGATAAAAAATAAGTTAACCGACAGGTAATATGGGTCATGACTTTTTGAATATGATCACTTTTGGGAGAATTCCTAGTCTCTCAAACTTGAGGAACCCCCAATTTGAGGCTTTACAAATGTAAAAGTTAAACCCATTAGTTATCCAATGGTTATCCATTAGTTATTCATTTTTTAAATGGATAGTATGGTTCTTATCCATATTTGACCCGTTTTTAAAAAGTTCATTATCCAACCCACTTTTTAATGAATAATATGGGTGGTTAATTATTTTCTTTTAACCATTTTGCCACCCCTAATAGCAAGGACATGGATTTTCTAAGAAGCTCATTAATTGAAGCATGGTGATTATTTACTAGTGTCTTGCCGACACGTGAATGATAACAAATTTAGTCACACTGATCAGTATATACATTAAATTATATTAATTTATCTTCGGAAATAGATTATAGTTAACTTTCAAATACTATCTTTTAACATCGATTTCACATTCTCCTCTCTTTTTTCAACTTCAATCAATGTCCAAACGCCTAGTATTTTATGATTTTGGACAATATTTAAATTGAAGTTGAAAAAGTTTGTGTATTTGTGAAAGTTCTAAGTTCAAAATTTGAAAATCACATTAGTCATTAGGGAATTTACAATTGAAACTAATTCCAATTCACTTTTTTTATCAATTATTTGATCTTGACATTACTTAATTTTTAAAAGTGATTATTAACCTTCATTTTTTGGCTACGTTTTTAATAGCATCTCCAAGTGTGTATTTTTGTTTAATCTTTCTTTTCACAGTTATTGTTGATGATGAAGACTAAAAGTGCTTACTTTTGGCAACTTTAAGGGATCAAACCTGCTCAAGAGTATATATAAGGGACTATTTTATACCATTCCCAAAGGTAAGGGACCATTTTTGTATATTGTTCTGCAAAAAAATAGTAAAGATATCTACTGCAAAACCCCAAAATTTGAAAAGACCCGGCAGCAATTCTTGAATTCAAAATTTGAGTAAAGCAAGCAAACAACAAGGAGACGCCAATTAGCCATGGATTTGGATGATTGGGAATTGAGCGTAGAGGAACTGGACAATCTCGAAAGAGATGCCCTAAAACAAATAGCTGAGCGCAACGCATCTTCTTCTGCTGCTACTACTAGTGCCGCGTCTCTGCAATCTACACTCCCTTCTGCTTTTCCAGCTACATATAAAAGAGTCAGTTTCATTTCTACTTCGTTTTTAATCAATACCCATTTGGGAATTTTTCCGCCTTTGTTTGATTTTAATTTCTGCTAGGCATTTCTTCAAGCACATTATCTGCACCCTTTAAAATATATTTGTGATTTCTTTTGCTGCTGCTACTAGTGCCGCTTCTCTACAATCTAAACTCCCTTCTACGTTTCCAGCTACATATAAAAGAGTCAGTTTCATTTCTACTTCGTTTTTAATCAATACCCAATTGGGAATTTTCACCTTTGTTTGATTTTAATTTCTGCTAGGCATTTCTTCAAGCACATTATCTGCACCCTGTAAAGTATATTTGTGATTTCTGTGGGTGATACGATTCAAGTTGATTTTATTTTCAGAATTAAACCAACTAAATAAATTGTTTGCTCGGGGTTTCTTCCTGTCTTTCATACTGTTGCAGCCCTAAAATTAAAGGGATTTATAAAAAAAATGGTTACTCCACTAATTGTATGTGCTGAATTGTGTGACCAGATCATCTAAAAGCTTAAGCGGCTAGATACACCACTCATTTATTTAATTAGTTAGGTCCTTTTTTTATGAGGTGTCCGGTGCACCTCGACTATTCCGTAGGGCACCTGCTACCTCCGACCAACGTAGGCCGGGCAACTCTGTCCATCAAGGCTTAAGAAGACGCGAAGAAATCACCTAGCGCTTCTTTTGCCTTCACTTGGATTTGAATCTCCTCTCACTTTATTGACTTAATTAGTTGTCTTAAACACGCACAGATGAGGAATTGATTCTTTTTGATGGGCCAAGAATGTGAAGACCTTTTTTTTGAAGGGTGGTTGTGAGACTTTAACTCGGGACTTCTGGAAGCTCTATTACCATATTTAACTGTGAAATGCTTTACTAGAGGGCACATCTCTTACTTAATTATGTCTTCAATAGTTTTAGTATTTTGGGCATAATTGTTGCTATAACACCGCACCTCTCAACAAAATATTTGTACAGGCTTTGCTTGACCAAGGAAAAGAATGAGACCTGCAATGTGTTTTTGGTCTACTCCAGCTATGGTGTTAAGGTTTTAGATTGAATAAGACTGTTTGACTCATTAGGTTACAGATATTTGCATGTTTTAGTCTGTGTTTTCTTGCATCTTTGGAGAATTTAGCTGTGCTGTCCATGTTATGTAACTGTCTGTATATGTGCATTGCTGGTGAGCCTTTAGCTAAAACGGTTGCTTAATATCATTGGTGTTCTGGTGATTTTTCTTGACATTATTTGTATATTTTGCCAACTAAATTGTTAGTATTTCTTTTTTGATAGTAACTAACTTATTAGAATCAGCAGACTTAACGAGAGACAAGACACAATACAACAACAACAAACCCAGTGATTTCCCACAAGTGGGGTCTGAGGAGAGTAAGATGTACGCGGCCTTACACCCTTACCCCTACCCTGGAAGGGCAGAGAGGCTGTATCCGATAGACCCTCGACCGGAAAAAGGATGAAAAAAAGTAATGGCAACAAGTAAGAACAACAACAAGACAAGACACAATAGAAGAAAAATATTTATATAGGCGATAGCGATACCAATTAGTTGGGAATATTTTTTAATCATTTTGATACATCTATGTTAGGTCCTATACTTTCTAGGAGTCTTTTAGCTCTATTAGAGATTCTTATGCCAGTAGGAAATCTAGAGAATTTCTAGTACTTCTCAATTTTTTTTTTTTTTTTTTTGTATGATGGCCTGTGATGTATTTTAATGGGAAATATGATTAGTGAGAATTCATATAGCCTACTCAACTTGTTTGCAACTTAGTAGTAGTAGTTGTAACTGAATTAATAGCTTATTGGGTACTCCCCGTTACTGCCTTTTTCTGTTGCAGGAAGAATCGTCATCTGCTGCACCTACAATAAAGCCTTCATCAGGGGAAGATAAGGTCTCTGGTGAGTGTTTTGCATCTCCCATCTTAAGGTGGTTATATCTGATTTTCAGATATTCCTGACTCCTGTATGCCTGTCCTCCAAACACCCTTGACAAAACAAAGGAAAAAGCTCTGCTGGAAATTCTGGGCCTCATGATGCCAATCATGTGAAACAGCTAAAAGAAAAGCGCTATGTTAAATTTTTCCTTCATGCAAGTGGAAATATTGCAGCAAAGTTTTCATATGACCAGGTAGCTGTTGGCCTACTTGCATCATGTCATTCTGATTTCCTTTTTGGCTTTTTGATACAACGTGGATCTTATCTTTACCAGATACTTGTTGAAGCTTGCCGTAAAATCCCTAAAGCCAGTTGGAGTGCTAAAGAGAGGTATTCTTGACCCATTTCCTTTTCCTTTCAAATATTTTTTTTCCTTTTCTTTTCAAATATAGTCGAATCAGGCAACGAAACTGCTGCTATGCAATACCCCCTCCCCACAACAACAACACCTCAGTCCCAAGCTAATTGGAGTTGGCAACACCAATCCTCATTTCCAATAAACCCCGAAAAAGAGGAGATATGGGAATTAAAAGTCTAAAAGTAACAAAAATCACTCCTGTTCTCTGCGACTAGATTTCACCCAAGTAGACAAACTGATAGCAAATGACATTTCAATTGTATCCTTTTCTCTCATGACCAAAGACAACCATTGTGTGGATGTCAAATATATTTGTATTCTGTGTTACCAAAAGAAAGGGAAAATGGAAAAATGTTTTCTTTTCCTTGGAAGAACTATTCTCTTATCTCTTGAACAACACCATCCTTATCACTCACATTTTTTTCTTTTTGTTGGAGATATAATTAAGTAAATAAAAGCATACCCTCTCTAAGCGCTTAAGCTTTTAGCTGAGATGATTATACAATTCAACATGTTATTAGAGCAGGCAGAGGTCTTGAGTGCGAGTCTCACCGCCAGCCATAATCAAAAAGAATTTTCATGTGCTCATGAAAAACGATCAGGCCCACACGTGAGGGGGTGTGTTGGAGATTTAATTAAATAATTAAAAGTGTACTCTCTCTAACAGCTTAAACTTTTAGCTAAGATGGTCACACAATTTAGCACTTTTCTTTTTGGCTCTGTTGTGTTATCAACCGTTAGATTGTCAGTTGGCCAAGTATCTTAAATCATGTTGGCCAGGGTTGATTTCGAAATTCAAATGCAGTGAGTCCCTCTATATATATTGTGAGAAGGCACGGGAGAAAATATGTTATTGATATTGGATGATAAATACAATATAAGAGGTCCCTATTTATAGCTATACACTACAAGGAGATATTACTCCTCTTCCAATGTGGGACAAGACTACACTATACATATCTATAAACTAACACTCCCCCTCAAGCCGGTGCATACACATCATATGTACCGAGCTTGTTACACATGTAACTAATACGAGAACCAGTAAGAGACTTAGTGAAAATATCTGCTAGTTGATCATTCGACTTTACAAACTTTGTAACAATATCTCCTGAAAGTATTTTTTCTCTGACAAAGTGACAGTCGATCTCAATGTGTTTAGTCCTCTCATGGAACACCGGATTTGACGCAATATGAAGAGCAGCTTGGTTATCACACACTAGTTCCATCTTGCTGATTTCTCCGAACTTTAACTCCTTGAGCAACTGCTTGACCCAAACTAACTCACACGTCGCCATAGCCATGGCCCGATATTCGGCTTCGGCGCTAGATCGAGCAACTACATTCTGTTTCTTGCTCTTCCACGAGACCAAATTACCTCCTACTAGAACACAATATCCAGACGTAGAACGTCTATCAAAAGGTGATCCTGCCCAATCAGCATCTGTGTACCCAACAATCTGCTCGTGGCCTCGATCCTCGAATAGTAATCCTTTGCCTGGAGCTGACTTTATATACCGAAGAATGCGAACAACTGCATCCCAGTGACTATCACAGGGAGAATCCATAAACTGACTTACAACACTCACCGGAAAAGAAATGTCAGGTCTAGTCACTGTGAGGTAATTCAATTTGCCAACCAACCTCCTATATCTCGTAGGGTCTCTAAAAGGCTCCCCTGTCCAGACAGAAGCTTAGCATTCAGATCCATAAGAGAGTCAATAGGTTTGCAACCCATCATTCCAGTCTTCTCAAGAATGTCTAAGGCATATTTCCGCTGTGAAATAACAATACCTGAGCTAGACTGAGCGACCTCAATACCTAGAAAATACTTCAATCTGCCCAGATCCTTAGTCTGGAAGTGCTGAAAGAGATGTTGCTTCAGATTAGTAATACCATCCTGATCATTACCAGTAATAACAATATCATCAACATAAACCACTAGATAAATACACAGATTAGGAGCAGAATGCCGATAAAACACAGAGTGATCAGCCTCACTACGAGTCATGCCGAACTCCTGAATAATTGTGCTGAACTTACCAAACCAAGCTCGAGGGGACTGTTTCAAACCATATAGTGACTTGCGCAATCTGCACACACAACCATTAAACTCCCCCTGAGCAACAAAACCAGGTGGTTGCTCCATATAAACTTCTTCCTCAAGATCACCGTGGAGAAAAGCATTCTTAATGTCTAACTGATAAAGAGGCCAATGACGTACAACAGCCATGGACAAAAAGAGACGAACAGATGCTACTTTAGCCACGAGAGAGAAAGTATCACTATAATATTAGGAGCAGAATGCCGATTTTTAGCTAAGATGGTCACACAATTTAACACTTTTTTTTTGGCTCTGTTGTGTTATCAACCCTTAGATTGTCAGTTGGCCAAGTATCTTAAATCATGTTGGCCAGGGTTGATTTCGAAATTCAAATGCAGTGAGTCCCTCTATATATATGTTGCAGGTTATGGATGTTTCCTTTGTCATCGTTGTCCATAGCAGAAAAAGTTCTTCGTGAAATTTCAGGCTCCAATTTGGAGGTGAGGAGTTGAAAATTCTTTTGCTCTCCTCATATCACTTTCCCAACTTCTGATGAGAATACAATAAAAATTAGGAGTTAGCTTTGGTGGACCTTGTGCATATGTTTTTTTCCATAGAATCGGGTACTTAAATATCTTGAATCTTCTTTGGCTCCATTTAATTAAGCTAATGTTGGTTCATCTTTAACATGTAAGTTGGAGAATTTAGATCCTCTGGTACAATGTGCCGTTGCTGCTGCTTCTACGATGCCTGACCTTCGAGGTAAATTTATCACTGCTGCTCTGCTAGACTACTGCCATGGAGATTCCATGGCGATGCTTATCATGAAATAGATTATCAAGAAATAACAGAAATGAGTTGGATTTTTAATGCAATTTTCTATTAGGTGCTTGCTTTGAGATTATTGTGCAGAGTAGATAGTAAATTCAAGAATTAGACAATGTTTAAGTTGAACAGCTGGTTCAACGCCACCTTGAACAAATTCTTTTATGCTGGTTCTTGTGTCATTTTAGGCCCATGTATTGCCGTCAATACCTATTAGACATTCATTTCTCATGGTATGTATTGAATTTGAGCATCCAATCCAAAATCTTAAGGCAATGGGTGGAGTATGTCAAGACCTTTATACACCTTTGTGATCCCTTACCCAATTAATTTGAGACAATTATGTAACTGAACACCTTTCCACATATACTGACTTTTGGGTTTACAGGTGAAATTTAACAAGACTTACGAGTGTGAGAAATGGCTTAGCACACATTTTTGTACCGCGTGAAAGAATATGAATATCTAATCCAAAATCTGAATGCAACGAGTCGAATAGTCTTAGTCCTTCATAAACACCTTTGGTAGCTCTTATACAATTCGTATTAGAAGGGTCATGTTAGCATATTTTCTGTCTATTTCCTAGAATTGATAGGACATCTTATCCTCATCTATGTAGCACCTGCTTTTGTATATCAATAAAACATTCATTTTGTATAAAAGAGCAGTTCGTCTAGCTTTGTATGCATATTTAGTTTTTCTCTTTTCACCAGATCATTATGAATTTATTCCAAATAATATTGAATCAAAGCTGATGCCTTTTCAGCGTGAAGGGGTCAGGTATGTTATACAAAGTTTTTGAGCTTTTCCTTTATTAGTCAATTTGATCTGTAGGAAGGGCATGCTGTTCTTTGTTCTTTGACTAAAAAAGGAGGTATAACATTTTTCTGTTTAGATTTGCATTACAGCATGGAGGGCGTATCCTATTGGCCGATGAGATGGGACTTGGAAAGACTCTTCAGGTTTTGGCTAAAACTATGTCAAATTGAATGTTAGTTTAGAGTCATTTACCTGCTACATGCTGATATTTTCATATAACAGCAATATCAAGTTAGTAGTAAATTTAATGGTTATTCATTCAGGGTACAGCATTTTACTGGTTATGGTATTGTATTTTTTTTTTCCTATGATGTCATACTTTAGGCCCTAAGTTCTAGCTTGATAGCTTGTTAGCTTGTTGAGTTATTAATTGTCCGGCATGGATGATATAAAGGGTTCTAATGGACCCCACCTTGCCTTAAAAATTGGTTTGGACGTTCATATTCTTTTACATAGTAACAGAGCCAACCTATGGTAAGCCGTTCTCGTACCTGTAAGGCCGTGTTAAAAATCACGCGTAAACCCCAAAATGAGGTTATAAGCGCTGGAGGGTTGAATTGTTTAAGGGCTTCCAAAATGGTTTATAAAGGTCTTGGACCAATGCACCCATTGTCTTAAGGTTTTGGGTTTAATGCTTATATTCTTTCATATATCTAATAATATTTAATTCCGGTGGGGTATTGGTTTTATTGGTATCCTTACGTCCGTATGAGCATTTGCATTACATTTATCAAACAATAAGAGATACCTTATGATGCCACAACTGCATCCGTATAACTAGATCTAACTCCACAACCGCTACTGCAATCATTATCGTATAGTAATAGTTAAATAATTTAGCTTTTCAACCAATTTCATTATCTTCCAGGATTATCTAGCAGATCATCTTAATCAAGAACTGATTTTATCTTCCGATCCACCAGAGTGTTTAGGGTTTCAAGATCAAACTTTATCCTTTGTATAAGATTTCCTATGAGCAATATTTGCAAAAGCGCATAATTTGTCGAAGCATAACGAGTCAATGGGTCGCTTTTTAGGATTAGACCTGTGTGCTTTAGCGAAGTGACTGTTTCAGGCTCAAAAGCACAATGTCATGGCATCAAATATGTGCGTGTTGAACTGTTGGAAAAAAAATTCTCTTTTAAAGAAAAAATAGTGAATAGGACGAGAATTTACTCAAATTTGAGTCAACAATTGTGGCTCATCTGCAAGCTTCGACATTCATGTACTTCTTCTTCTACTGCTGCTATTTATATTTGGATTTCCGCTTTAGTTCTCCTGTCTTTGGGTTATGATTATGTTGTTATTTTGCTCCTTCCTTCTATTAGTACTTATTTATACACAATAAGATAATTCTGTGGATTGTTTAACTTAAAAATAGTACCACTTGGCTTCTCGTTTAAACCCTCATCTGGAAGTAAAATTAAAAGGCATTTGGTATTAGTGAATTTCAGCACATTGTAGGCCCAAGAATCCTAAAATAGGGCCACGATGAAATAACATTGTGAAGAAAAATTGGAAGGCTTTTCAGCATTAGAGAAATTCAGCTCATTGTAGGCCCAAGTAGGAAACAAACCTTTTAACTCTTTCCTAGTGCAATTGAAGTGTCACCTTCCTCCTGTTGCTTGTAATGCATTGTTCTTGGTAATATTTCTATTTCTATCTGAGAAAAAAGGAAATAGCAAATAAGAGCTTTACAAAATTATGGTTACCTAGGTCTTACTCTTACCTATAGATATCTTCTGCCAGAAGACTCCAAAACGTCGCCATCTATCGCTGTTTCAATATGTTGTCCCTGTTTTAAAATATCTATTGCCGTTGTGTAATGACTAGTCAGACCTTGTTCTTGCATTACAACCCAAAATCACTTTGTCAGATCTTTTTTTGCCTTCAACTATGAACTTAAGCTGATTGAGAGTCAGTGTTGACAGTTGATAGCCGACCTAAATATGCCTTATCAAAAGTGATCATTTTTGTTTCTCTCAACTATATTTGACATAGATGATTTTTGATTTTCAGCTAGCATGTGTTTTACACACCTCAATCCGTAACTGATACGCATAATTATATGACCAAATGTGTGACATACTTATAATCAAGTTTTTTTTTGGTTGGGATTTTCTTTGACATGGATCTTTGGTTGCCCTATCTCTATGTATCATACATGCTTTATTTCTTTTCACATTTGCAGGCTATCGCTGTGGTTTCATGCATCCGCGAATCATGGCCAGTTCTTGTTCTTGCTCCATCTTCCTTACGGCTTCACTGGGCTTCTGTAAGTCATGGTAATTTTTGTGTATTATCAGGAGTTTTTGCCTTACACTCACTGTTTTTGGTGCTTAATGCAGATGATTCAACAGTGGCTGGATATTCCATCATCGGAAATACTTGTATGGTTCAATAACTTTTTTCCTTTTTTTCTTTTATAGAGAAGTAAGTTGCTGATGATTGGGCTGTGAAATTTGGAACAGTAAGAATGAAATTAATGTTTCTTGATGTTTAGCATTGTTCGATAGCTTGAGATCTAAATATGATGATTTCACAAATATGTATAGTAGTATCATGTCGGTTGCTGCCTTAGTATTTTACAATTCAATTTGTGGAGTTGGTTATACTTCAAATTTAGCTCTATGCACTCCTTGTTTTTACATGAAAGAATTCACCCGAGCTCTTAAATCCTCAATTTCACTTCAAGTAGAAGTTTCACATTTTTGGATATTACACAAGGAAATAAGGTGTAAATATCATAATAAAGTTAATTTAGTCTGGTATTATAGATATTTACTATATTGCACTAGATTTTGGGATAATTAAAGATGTTAGATAATTAGTATTTCTTGTTCCTGTACTTAAAATTTGAACTTTCTTCATATATGATTAAATTGGTTAATCACTTAAAGAGAAGTTGTATTTACTAGACAACAACTATGCCTCAATCCCAACCAAGTTGGGGTCGGCAAGCTGTAATTACTAGAAAATGAAAAAAAATCATAAAGGTTTTTGGTGAAAGTCAAGGATGGGCCCGAGGTGCCAATCTGAAAAATTAATGTTGGTTAACCTAATTAATATGGTTTAATTTGTTGTATTTCCGCCTAATAATTTGAGTATTCCTTTGTATTCTTAAAATCAAGTTATACACAAATTAGTTCTCTTCATCAATAAATCTGACATTGTTCCTCATTTCTCAAACTTTCACCATAAAAACTATTCTGTGAACTGGCTTTGCTTTTTCTACCTCACTCCATAGCTTTTTGATTCAACTTTCAAATTACTTTGTAAATATTTCTACTGCAGTTTCTTGTTAATGGATACTGAATAAAATACCCTCAACAATAAGTAAAAGAAAGCTTTCAAATTACTCTGGCCAAATTTCACGAATCTCTATCGCTGAGGCAACAACAGTGGCCAAAGGGTTTCCACGTGGAAGACAATGGCTCGCAGGGTCAGACCCCCATGTTTGGTTCTCCATTTCCAGCAATAGCCATGCTCTCCCCTTTTTTTGACACCTACTTTCAGTTCAATCTCCTCTGTGAATCAGTAGTCAGTGATCTGGACTGCAGACTTCATCAATGCTTTCTTCATTTGGTATTAAGAGCAATCTTTTGTCTTGGCAAATTTCTGTAAGGCCATAGGTGCCTTCTGTTCTTTTAAGTTCATTCTACAAACTGGACTGCAAATATCATTGTTCCCTCCAATAGAAATATTTGTCGTGCCCTATCTTCTTTGTCTACCACAATGTTATAGAAGTAAGAAGGCTAGTTTCTAATGGGCCATCTTTTTAACTCTGGTTCAAAATTTTCTAATGTTGCACCTTAAATTATCGCAGAATCTAATTATGTTACTGCCTACTTTGAGGTAACGTATGAGAAGCTTTTCATTGCTATTTAATTACTAGGTTAGTATAAGTTGATTAACATTTCTATGTTTACGTGCAGTGGAACCTTAAAGAGAAAGTGCCTCTAGAGAGTGCATTCAATGTAATGTTACAAACAAGTTGCATTTCAAGTTCCCAGATAATTAATATTTTTCTATTACACAGGTGGTTTTATCTCAATGGGGTGGTTCAAATAAGGCAGGATTTAAAATAGTGCCTTCAAACACTAAGAAGTCCGTTCACCTTGATGGTGTGTTCAACATAGTATCGTACGACATAGTCCCTAAGCTTCAAGATCCACTTATGGCATCAACTTTTAAGGTAAGTCCAGTACATTATCTACAGGATCTGACATCTGCTGTAATTCAATTCCCTAATACCTGAACAATATGAATCCTTAGTAACTTATCTTTTGATGGACCTTGACGCTATACTCGACATGGCTCTGTATATGTGAGTGATATAACATGACTGAAAAGTTAAAACACCTTTTTTTGTTATCTGGATTTTATTCCATTCTTATTTGCTTGGATACCCTTTTGTTATATAACGGTTGCACACCAGTTGAAATAAATTGCCGTTTCATTTGCTAAGATAATGCTCTATAAAGTGTATTAGAGGTGGCTCCTCTTTATGATCTGTGGAGTACTTAGAGGAAATGACAGATGGCTTCTTGAAGGGCTGAAAAACCTATCCAGGAAATCAATGAACCTTTCTGTTATCTGGATTTTCTTCCATTCTTATTTGCTTGGATACACTTTTATTTGCTTCAACAAGAATACTTAATTGGTTCACTTTCTTGTGCTGCTTTTATACCTTTCTTTTAACAACTTTGAAAATTTTTGAGCTATCGAAAAGACAATTCGAAAAGAATGATAGGAAATACAAGAGGCTTAAGATCTTCAGTCTTTGGATGTTGATACTTCTCTAACCTCTTGATTATTGTGTTTATAACTTTATATTAAGTGCTTTGTGTTGGATATCCCCTAATGGTTGGCATTTTCATGCTACTTAATGACTGTTATCCGTGATGATATGTTTATTCAGGTTGTTATTGCAGATGAATCACACTTCTTGAAAAATGCCCAAGCAAAAAGAACCGGTGCTTCACTTCCCTTATTACAGGTCTGCTTCCTTTCTTTTATAAAGAAAAGGTCTGTGTGCATTCTCACTGTGTTCAGGGGTGGGTTTATTCTATAGAGTTCTTACTCAATGGTAATGAATGTATTACTTTTTTCCAAAAAAAAAGGAAAAAAAGAAGATGGATATATCACTGTAGTTACTTGTGCTCGATACATGGAGGCATCTCTTGATACTTTTTTACAGTAACCTTCATCCATCTAAAAAAAAGTAAATGGAAAAGAGGCACACATCAATTAGTCCAGTGCACCACCCTGAACTGTATGCAATATATATATATATCAAGATACAGTTCACAACAGAGAAGCTCAACTCATGGTTATCAAGTTGACAAAATTTAGGTGAAACTTCAAATCTTCTTTTGTCTAAATCTTTCTGCAGTATTAAACATATCGAAATGAACAAGAAAGAAAAGAAACAAAAGTATCAGTTGGCCTCTGAACAAATGGCTCTTTGAAAACTTGGTGGAAAATTGGTTGAATACTCCCATCCAAGTTGATGAGCATGGAAGAGAGATTAAGTGGAACAGAATTGACTGGGTGGTAGGGTTGTGGAAACGCTTGTTTCTTCCATATATTGGACCTTAGCTCCAACATTTTTTACCAAATCTATAAATGGAAAGGAGTGGTTCTGATAAACTTACATTTTAACCACTGCAGAAAGCTCAGTATGTGATATTGCTCAGTGGAACTCCTGCTTTATCAAGGCCAATTGAACTATTCAAACAGGTATACAATATATTGATCAATTTTTTTTTTATTGGTACTCTGCGTACAGGTCTTAACTGCTATCAAGTTTCAAATAGAAGGGAAAAAAATTATTTATTGGGGGTTTGTGATCTAAAACTGTGTGCTTGACAGCTGGAGGCCTTGTATCCTAATGTATATAAGAATGTGCATGAATATGGCAACCGCTATTGCAAGGGTGTAAGTCAAAACTCCCCTGCATCAGAAGCCTTTTCTGACATCTTACAGCAATAAAGAAGTGCTCTAACAGGTTTGCTGACATTCTAGGGCATCTTTGGAGTTTATCAAGGTGCAAGTAATCACGAAGAGCTGCACAGTCTAATGAAAGCAACGCTGATGATTCGGCGACTGAAAAAAGATGTTCTTTCTGAGCTCCCTCAGAAGCGGAGGCAACAAGTATAAACTTTGGACTTACATTTTGGTGGTTCTGGCCATATGACTTCATCTCATTCTCTCTCACTTCGTTACAGGTTTTCCTAGACTTGGGGGAGAAGGAGATGAGACATGTTAATAGTCTATTTCGTGAGGTATTCTTGTATACCTTTGTGATTATACTTTATTGGCCCCTTCACACCCAATAACTTGAAGGGGACTTTGAACCAGAAATGCTGTTTTTTCTGTTTTTTATTATCTAAGTTTATGCATTTAATGACCTTTAATTATTCCAGTTAACCTCCTTTTGACTTTTCAGCTATGAATACTTTAACGTCTCTTGTGGTACTTCTCACTGGAAACTTATTATTATTCTTGAAACTTCCTTTTTCTAATTTGAATTTAAAGAAATGGATTTAGAGAAATATATGATGCTTGATAGTCCGGTTCAAAGAATGTAAAGAACTGTCTTTGATAATGATGCCTGACGGTCCTTGATCTCTGAGGAAGCGTAGTTACTTAATCTAATGTTGCATCATGTAGTTGGAGGTCATTAAGGGGAAACATAAATTAGCTCAGTCCGAGGAGGAGGCTAAATCTCTTAAGTTTGCAGAGAAGAGCCTCATCACTAAGGTACATCTGCAAAATTTGGATCATGATTACTTATTTATTTCTTTTTTATCAGTTGGAGAGTTGAGTGCTATATCAAGGATTCTTGAAAATTATACTGATCTTATCCTGGTTTTACTACATGATATGCTTCTCTTTGCCTCTTGCACCTTGAGCACTTGGCTCACAATATATATCCATTTTCTCCGAAAACTTCTGCTGTCAGAATAGTGCTCCTGTGTGCAGGCCGATTGAAAAACTTTTCCTCTTTGTAGGTAAGTAGACCACAAATAAATTAGGAGTTTATAAGAGAAATTTGCAGTTAGAACTCAAGTCAAATTGGGGGACGGCAACAATATTCTGTTCTGGTATGACGCGCTGCTTGGGGCACACACCTAAGTGTTTTTGTGTAAAATGAGCGGTGTGATTGATGTAGAAAGCATAATGAGCTTCCTCAGTCTCCTAGAGTAATAGGAGCTGAGTTTTTGTGACCTTGTTGTCAAATCCATGCACAATTGTCCTATAAAAAAGTGACAACTACTAAAAGGTAATGCTAGAAGAACAGACCATCCAAGAAAATAATGGTAAAACCACCTAAGAATTATCTGCGGTCTCAAAGATCTTCATAGTATCTGGTACATAGAAAGTGTTGTTTGAAAAAAATTCATGTTCATGTTGGCTAAGTTTTATTTGATCAACTGGAATACCCACAGATTAATACAATATGAGCTGAATTGCTGTTGGCCCGATAGGATAGAATAATGCGCATGAAACTTTTATTTGGAGAAGTAAATGTTATAGTTTACAGAGAGCATGTACTGGAATAAACCTGAAAACCTTCCATTAGTATTAAATTACTCTGTCACCTTGTGTTAACAGTGCCTAATCTCAGACATCTTTTACCTGCATGCTGCCCATACTTCTGGGGCTACGTTAGATTTCTCTGGGCACCCTATTTCTTTAATTGCTGGTGCGTAATAATTAAATCTGACAAATTTGATCTAGGTTTCTTACATTGCTCACTGCCATTTTTTTTTGTTTTTTGTTTTTGTTTCTAAATACTTGATTTGGCTGCATTGTGTTTACTTTTTACCAAAGTTTTAAACCCTATACTTTGCTTGTTGGGCTGCAGATTTACACTGCCTCTGCTGAGGCCAAAATTCCAGCCGTTTTGGATTACCTAGGAACCATGGTTGAGGTATGGCCTTGGTTTCTTCTACATCCTATGTATTCAGAATACAAAGCGAAAGCATCTCCAGCTGCTTTGGAATGTTCTTTCTTTACCTTTTTCATCACGTTGGATTAAAAAACAATACCATCTGTAAGGGAGTGCAAAAGGAAAAGGAAAAGGAAGCACTATTCTCATGTTGAAGAGCAAAAAAGGAAGATAAAATCAGAAAATATTGGCCTTTGAATTTCTTTGGAAATTAGAAAGATATTGCCTTTCCATTATGTGAGAAGGCACGGGAGAAAATATGTTATTGATATTGGATGAACAATACAATACAAGAGGTCCTTATTTATAGCTATACTATACAAGGACATACTACTCTTCTACCAATGTGGGACAATACTACACTATATGCATGCTGTAAACTAACACTCCCCCTCAAGCAGGTGCATACAAATTATATGTACCGAGCTTGTTACATATATAACCAATACGAGGACCAGTGAGGGACTTGGTAAAAATATCTGCAAGTTGATCATTCGACCTCACAAACTTTGTAGCAATCTCTCCTGAAAGTATCTTTTCTCTGACGAAGTGACAATCAATCTCAATGTGTTTAGTTCTCTCATGCAACACCGGATTTGATGCAATATGAAGGGCAGCTTGATTATCGCACACAAGTTCCATCTGACTGATTTCACCAAATTTCAACTCCTTGAGCAATTGTTTGGTCCAGACTAGCTCATATGTTGCCATAGCCATTGCTCGATATTCTACTTCTGCACTAAGACCGAGCAACTACATTCTGTTTCTTGCTCTTCCAGGACACCAAATTTCCTCCTACTAAAACACAATATCCAGACGTAGAACGTCTATCAGAAGGTGATCCTGCCCAATCAGCATCTGAGTATCCAATGATCTGCTCATGACCTCGATCCTCAAAGAGTAACCCTTTGCCTGGAGCCGATTTTATATATCGAATAATGCGGACAACTGCATCCCAATGACTATCACAGGGAGAATTCATAAACTGACTTACAACACTCACAGGATAAGAAATGTCGGGTCTAGTCACTGTGAGATAATTTAATTTTCCAACCAGCCGCCTATAGCTTGCAGGATCGCTAAGCGGCTCCCCCTGTCCTGGCATAAGTTTAGAATTCGGATCCATCTGAGTGTCAACAAGTCTGCAACCTATCATCCCCGTCTCCTTAAGAATGTCTAAAGCATATTTTCTTTGAGAAATAACAATACCTGAGCTAGACTGGACAACTTCAATACCTAGAAAGTACTTCAATCTGCCTAGATCCTTAGTTTGGAAGTGCTGGAAGAGATGCTGCTTCAGATTGGTAATACCATCCTGATCATTGCCAGTAATAACAATATCATCAACATAGACTACCAGATAAATACAGAGACTAGAAGCAGAGTGCCGATAAAACATAGAGTGATCAGCTTCATTATGAATCATGCCAAACTCCTGGATAACTGTGCTGAACTTACCAAACCAGGCTCGAGGAGACTGCTTTAGATCATAAAGTGACCGACGCAAGCGACATACAAGGCCACGAGACTCCCCCTGAGCAACAAAACCAGGTGGTTGCTCCATATAAACCTCATCCTCAAGATCACCGTGAAGAAAGGCATT